TCTTAACCTCACTGACCAGGCCCTGCAGCCGCCCGAGCGATGGCCAGTTTCTATGTTCAACACAATAAACCAATTGACCTTAATCACCGATTAGAATTAGTTAATTAACTTAACTAATTCATTAAAGTCTTGGATTTAACCATCCGGTCAAACCTACGACAACAGAATATCCAGTCAAAGCCTAGGTCAAACATGACCTAACCCAAGTCAAAGTCAAACCTGTTCAGTCAATTCACAATACTCAACAATTCCATTCAAACAATCAATTTAATTCAATTAACCAATTTAGCCAAATTATAGCATAAACACATATAACGATCCAAACCATTAAATCTATTCTGAATGCTATTAACTTCATAGTACGGACCTGGATTACGTCGAAATCGAATCGATAGCTCGAACGGAAGACAAATCAACGAAATCAACCGAACGGGTCAAATCGAGTCAAAATACGAAATTGACCAATCTATCCGGCGTGGGGGTTAATCTGCCGGCGATATCAACTCGGGGCAGCGGCCGGATGCGGCGACGGTGACTGGAAGCTCAGGCGACGGCGGCTCGAGGCTCGGGGACGCTGAGCGGCGGCTACCAGCGAAGGAAGCAGCGGCGGCGCTGCAACTCGGCGGCGGCGATGAGCGACCGGCACTGGCTCACGGCGGTGAGCGACGGCGGCTGGAGGCGAAGGAAGCAGCGGCGGCGCTCTGGCTTCCAGCGACGGGCGACGGCGGTCTGGCTTGCGCGACCGGCTGGGGAAGGCGACGGCGGCTCCAATTGAACGACGACGATGGCGGCGGGCTTCCGGCGGCGAAGAAGAAAGGAGAAGAAGGAGAAGAAAGAAGAAGAAGAAGAAAGAAAAAGAAGAAGAAGGAGAAAAAGGAACGGACGGACGAAGAGATAAGGTTTATAAGGTTTAGGTTTATTTAATGGTCCCATTCCAAAAAGGATTGGGCTTCGGACACAAAATACCTGATTAAATGGTCATAACTTGAGCTCTGTAACTCCGATTCGCAAGCCGTCTGAACCGACGCGATCACAAAAATATTTCCTACGAGATGACATAAAAGTTGGGCTTAAAATCCAAATTAATATTTTAACACCTTATTGGGCCCAATTCGTAATCAATTGCTCTAACAATTTAATTAATTCTTTTGGGCCAGATTTCGGGGCGTTACATAATTAGCCGTTGGAGAATATTTAGGAAGGATTTTGACTAATTAATGGTGATTAGATTTGAAATTCGGAATTTAAAATTTCTCCAACAGTACGGTATCATGGTACCGGCCTAACGGTATCTAAGTACCACACGCATGGCGGTAGCTGGGTACTGGCGTTGACGTTCACTCGGTACCGGCTCAGTTCATTTTGCACTGGTGGAACTTGCAGCAGGTGATATCTGGGTACCGTTCAGGCGGTATAGCCTACCGTTACGGCGGTATTAGGGTAATGTGTCAGGTATCAGCCCACTGACCTTGTTTTTCAAAAATGTATTTAAACCTTTTCGTTTGAGTTTAAAACTTTTGAGATATTTGAAAATGATTATTATATGGTTTTAAACATATTTTGTGAGTGCATTTGAGTTTGTGAATATAGGTATATAAAGTTCATATCCGTACATTGTTTCCACCTATATTCTATGCTTGTTTAGTATTTCAACTTTGTTTTTTAGAACCGTATCTTAATGGATTCTTGTTGTATCTGAAGGACTTATACAAACCTTAGCTCATATATTGTTTGTTAACATTAAAACACGAGATTTAGCAAACCAAGGCTAACAAATAAACTATAGGGAAAGTGCGTACTCTCACCCCAACCTTGCATTTGTATGATATTGTCTGTTTTGGATCAAGCCCTCACAAATTTATTTTGAGACACATCCCAAAAAGCCTCCAACTTCTGACCTCCCCTCCTCCTTCGGTCTTGTTCTTATTGTTAAAATGTAACACCAAGCGATTTTTTTAAATGTGAAATGACTAAATTTGATTTCAAACAAGAAATAATTCAATTTTGGACCAAAAAGACATACTCCCTCCGTCCTTTAGTTTTTTTCTACTTTTGACTTTTGGAACTGTTCATCTAAGCACTTTGACTCATCAAATTCTCTCAATGTGTAAGCCTAAATATAGTCATGTGTGATCTTGTTTGATTTGTCTTAACATATAGATTATTAATATATAATTTCTATAATTTTTTAATATACAAATTACAAGATAAAATGAATTAAAGAAATGCATTGGATGGTGTGCAAAAATGAAAGTGGACAAAAACTGGGGAACGAAGGGAGTATAATTCAATTTATTAAAAAGGAATAAAATATTTGGATGGCTGTCGCTTAGTGGCTAACTGGCTATCGCGGAATTATGTTGTCGCCTGCCTACTTCAACGCAGAGTCGCTGAGAGGACGAGGAGGGTCTGACAACCTACAGCTGACTAGGGTGACTGTGTGGCTGAGAGACAGACGCGAGGTCGCAACTCGTAAGGAGGGCAACGATTAGCACCCTGTACTGTAGTGGGGAAAAATGCATTTTGAATCTTAAAAAGGTAATAAATGGTCAAAATGCACATATGTCATAATGCACGAAGTTTTATATACTTTTATTTGCACCCTCCATCATTTTTTTAGCTTTGGAATTTATTTAAATTTTTGGATTTAAATTTTTAAATTTTGAATACCATATTACAAAGAGGGTCTAGAGATTTGTAATTAAACTTTGTTGTGAATTAAAGAAATTTGGACAATTTATATCCAAATTTAAGATTTTGAAACTTATAATTTTGGTCAAATCCGAATTTTAAAAATCATTCAAAGTCAACTATAATTTTTTTCTTTTAGAAAAATTAATAAATTCTCAAAATAAGAAAGTTGAACAAAACAGAAAATGGTAAGCATGATTGTACAAAAAAAGAAATTCTTTTTTTTATTTTTTTAAGTTGAAAAATTATAGGAGGATGTAAATAAAATAATATTTAACTTCTAAGAGTGCATTTTATCTTTTTTTTGTGAAAGTGTATTTTAATTATTTGCTACTTTTAAGGGTGTAATGCTATTGTGTCTCCTGTAGTGTGTGAGGAGTTTTTTTCTGTAAAAAGGTTTAATCCCCAACGTCAATGACCCCTCACACTCGTTTAGATGAGTGTGTAAAGAGAGATAAATCAGTATCAAATGGCACATTAAAAAGAAGGCTCGCCCCACATACATGTAAGGAGCTCATTCTTATAGTCCAAACTGGGATCAGAACATCATTCTCACACTACACGTTGCGGGAACTCGACCTTGCACCTTAATGGAGTAAATTACCACGCAAATATTAAGTGTGAGTAATCGGAAGGGTTGTAGGTGGAATCACCTGTAGCCCGATTTGTTATTAATGATAATAGGAGTTATTACAAATACAAGCCGTGTAGGTTAATTAAAACATGCCTCACAAATGAGGCTTTTAAGGGTATTTATAATAATCCTAATCACGTCAAGCACGTCTCTGATTATCCAACCGGTCAGGCGGCTGACCGGCCCACCAGGTGCACTTTGAAAGTAGATCTTCGGTATTGGCGTCTGGTCTCCCCATCCAACCGATCAAATAACCCATGCTGAAAAAGACGCGTGCTGTTCGGTGAACCAACCGGGTGGTATCCTTGGGTTATTACCCATCAAGGAGTCCTCCGATTCCCGGTCCTGTGGGGACCATCAGGGGCGGGAAGCACATGCAATCATTTCCTGGAATTTGAACAGCCCAGTCGCTTTTTGGCAGGGAAATCGTCTCGGAAAACCAGCGCCAACCCAAAAATATTTGAAATTTGAATTTTGAATTTTGAATTTTCAAAAAACGGTGGTCCAAAGCGGGAGAATCTTCTCGAAGTCGGGTACAGAGCCGCCGATTTAACGTGCCGTTTCGTCTCCCCGAGAGGTTATGATGGCAAATCATTTCAGCCGCCACGTGTCATTTCTTCATTCGCCCGTCTGGGCGGCATCTCTCCTATATAAAGCGTCGTTCTCCTTGGAATTTCCTCACTTGCAAATCTTCAATTCAAAAACCTGCTCGGCAGCTTCTACTATTTCCGAGTCCTCCGAGTCTTCTAATCGTCTCCAAGTAAGTTTCTTTCATTCCTTCTCTGAGTCATGTCAGACCGTGAGGATAGTCAGAACCCCTCCGTTCATTCTTATGGTTCTGGCGGCCGGTCTCCCACCTTTGGTTAGTGGCGCCCGAATTCTTTAGTCCAAAGGCCATCACCCGGTAGCAATAAGTGCCTTCTGGAGTCAAGAAGGAAGTCTTCTCCTCGTCCTCCTCAGCCATGAAAATCTGATGGTAGCCTTTGAAAGCGTCCATGAAGCTGAGCAATTCACACTCGGCCGTCTCATCGACCATCTGATCGGGACTGGGCAGCGGGTATGAATCCATGGGGCATGCCTTGTTCAGATCCGTGTAATCCACGCACATGCGCCAGGTGTCGCCTTTTGGAGCCAAGACGACGTTAGCCAGCCAGGCCGGGTATTGTACCTCCCGTATGTGCCCGACCGCCAACAAGTCCTTGACTTCTTTCTTCACAAAGTCCCTACGGACGATCGCCAAGTGCCTCTTTTTTTTGTTTCACAGGCCGACTCCCTTCCATCACAGCCAAACGATGGCATATGACAGAACGGTCAATGCCCGGCATGTCCGCCACACTCCAAGCGAAAATATCTGCATCTTCCCGAAGAACTGAGATGATTTCACCTCGAAGTCCTCCGGGCAGATCTCTTCCGATCCGTACCATTCTTTTTGGGAAGGCTTCTCGGAGAACAATCTGCTCGGTTTCATCGCCCGGCTCTAGCTTCGACCGCTCTTCTTCCTGAGAGACCAAAGTGACTCTCTCAAATGCCTTGGTCATTTTCTTTACGGCCTCCAAGTAGCAATGCCGGGCCTTCTTTTGATCTCCTCTGACCTGTCCTATACCGCCCAGGGTATAAAATTTCATGCAGAGGTGGGCCATGGAGATGACTCCACGGACCTTGTTTATTCCAGGTCAGCCTAGGATGGCGTTATGAACACATTTGATGTTCACTACCACAAACCTCATTTGTTTCTGGACGACCTGGTCTCCTGTGCCCAACTCACAAGTAAGAAGGATTGACCCTTCAGCTTCAACAGAGTCCCCAGTGAACCCGGATAGGGGAGTCTTTAAGGGCTCAAGCCGTGTCCGACACAACATGAGCTTTTCAAATGCATCCAAGTACAAAACGTTGACACTACTTCCCGTGTCAACGAGTACCCGGGAGACATCGACTCCACCCATGTCCATAGTTATAACCAGGGGGTCATTGTGATCTTCTCCGGTGGCGGGGAGGTCCCGGTCAGTAAAAGTGATCGGTTCCCGTCTTGCTTGTTTTGACCGGGGATGGAGGGCTACCGTCCCCACGTAGAGTTCTCGCCCCCACTTATTCCTTTGGGAAGCAGAATCTCCCCCTTCCGGTCCACCGTAGATGACCTGTAAATGCTCTTTACCAGTGGTTTTCTTCTTTTTATTCTGCTCGGCCGGTTGTCCTTTTGGTCTGACCCATTGGTTCTTCTTTTGCTTAGCTTGGGCCAGATATTCAGGATCAATCTCACCGGCCAAAATCATCTGCTTTATTACCCCCTTCACACTATTACACTCTGCAGTGTTATGGGAATCAGTTTTTTGAAAGGAGCAATACTTCTCCGTCCATTGTTTCTCGCCGGTCAGTTTCTTCTTTGTTTTGACCGGTTTTACCTCCATGACTTCTGCTTTTATCTTACCGGGCAATGTAATTTCCTTTTTCAAGGAAACTTTTCCCTTTGAGTGGCCCTGCTCGGCTTCCCTCTTGGATGACACCTGGGCTTCAGCGTCAGCATAGTCCCAGGCCGTGTTATAGGCCTCTTGATAGGACTGGGGAGGCCTCCTGCAGAATTCTTTGTATAGTTCTCCGGACCGGAGCCCGGATACAAGGAGGGACATTGCTGTCTTGTNGTGAGGAATTTTGTCAGATCCTCGTGCTCTCGCTGCCCGGCTGTACTCAAGTAGGTAAACTTTTTCCTCTTGGTACAGTTTTCTTTGAACTTTTCTTGAAACACCTCAGCCAGTTCATCGAAAGAATCGATTTCACCGGCCGGTAAGTTATGAAACCACTCGGCGGCTCGGCCGCGGAGGGTCTGAAAGAAAAGCAAACATTTCTCATCCCCGGAAAGACCCATCATCCGCCCACTTTGATGGAGGGTTTTGACGTGAATTTCCGGGTCCTCCTTCCCGGTGAACTTCGGGACTTCAAGTTTCACCTTCTTTGGAAATGGTGTTTCATGAACCCGGTCTGTGAACAGAGATTCGTTCAGCAGAATCTTCTTCTTTTCTTCTCGGTCTACCCGACATTGTAGTTTCTCCAGACGTGCCTCGACCCGGCCCACACGATCCCGAGGTTGTTCAACATGTGGACGGGTCGTGTGCCTGGGGTGGCTTTCGGCTTCTTCCTCTCGTGGTGCCCGGCTGTGCTGGGGCTCATTGCGTGGGGATGGCTCCGTTCGCCTGGTCTGACCAGGTCGTCCGGCTCCTCTCCCTGCACGATTAAATGCACTAGCTGGGATGGTTTCTACCCCAAGCCGCTCTTTTGCTGACCGGTTCTGATTTCGGCCATCATGGCCAAGTCTCTGAAAGGCCGACCTCCTAGATCCTTCTGGCTGAACTGCCTTTCCCTTCAACTTCTTGACCGCCTGGGGGACGTCCCAATCCTCGTCTTTGCTGTGCACTGAACGCACATCCCCGTCCAAGGTCACCTTTGTCTGCGACCTACGGGACCGGCTCTTTCTAGACCGGGATGGACCAGCTTTATCCATCTCCCCGATCAGGTTTGTCGGAACGATCGAGCGAATGACGTTAGTTTGAGGCGAGGATTGTGGATACAATCCCGGATTGAAAAGTGAAAACCCTCCTGGCTGCTGGAACATGGACATGAAATGTCCAAAATTCTGAAGAGCCTGGCTGTACATTGGATCAAGGGGTCCGGGGAAATTTGAAGGAAAAACGGGAACAGGGTTCACGGGGGAAGTGAATGGGATAGGTGGTGGAATGGTGATGATGGGGGTAGGAACCTGGCTTGACGGTTGGGAACTTCCTCCCGAGAATGAAATGACATTCTTAGCGGGAGTAGAAATTTGTGAGATCACGGTTTCCTGATTACTGGCCATGACTTTTTTGTAATAGGTCCCACGGGTGGCGCCAATATGATGGAGTAAATTACCACGCAAATGTTAAGTGTGAGTAATCGAAAGGGTTGTAGGTGGAATCACCTGTAGCCCGATTTGTTATTAATGATAATAGGAGTTATTACAAATACAAGCCGTGTAGGTTAATTAAAACATGCCTCACAAATGAGGCTTTTAAGGGTATTTATAATAATCCTAAGCACGTCAAGCACGTCTCTGATTATTCAACCGGTCAGGCGGCTGACCGGCCCACCAGGTGCACTTTGAAAGTAGATCTTCGGTATTGGCGTCTGGTCTCCCCATCCAACCGGTCAAATAACGCGGGCTGAAAAAGACGCGTGCTGTTCGGTGAACCAACCGGGTGGTATCCTTTGGTTATTACCCATCACACCTTATTGCAAACCTATGCTTTCCAAAATTATTGAGCTACCTCTAGGGTCATGTGATGAGTTTTAAAAATTATTAGGACCGCACTTGCTCTCATCCAACCCCGCATTAGTATTACATTGGCCACTTTGGATCAAACCTTCACAGATTTATTTTTAGACATCTCCAAAAAGACCTCATAGTTACCGATATGGATAAAGTTATTTTGGTTCTCCATTATTTCTTCCCGACTGGGACTAATGTTTGCATCCCAACATAAACAAAGTTAGATTATTGTGATATCTTATGTAGATGACTAGAAAATTACGCACTACGTGCAGTTGGTGCCCAATCTAATGTGCATTTTGTCTAAGAGTGTTTGTCAGTTTTTTTAGAGTCAAGCAAATTAACTTTTTGACCAATATTTATAAATAACTATATGGTATCTTACCTAGATAAAGCAATTATTTATGGAGTATAAGATAAATCTAAAAAAAATTTACATCAATATATAATACTAATTTTATTTAATTTATTGTTAAGACTTGTCAACTTTGACGTTAAAAGGTCAAAGTTCACAAACATTCTCAAATGGAGGTAGTATGAAACACATAGTTAAAATACACCCATTGTAGAGAAAGCTACACAAAATAATGTACTCAACCTTACGTTAGGAAAGATAATACGCCATTGTGGAGGAATATCTTAAAACAGACGCGCACATACATAATTGTCTATGAGAAAGAATGTCTTGAATCTTGAACTTGCATGCTCCACTACAGTTTTATTTCTCAAACCTCTTTTTCACATCCCGAGTCCCTTCGTTCTTCTTTGTCACACCTTATATCTTTGTACCTACACCCAAAAAAATATTTTAGATGATGAAACAACCAAAATTTTAAACTTCACAAGCTGTTTATGTTTATTTTTTCAAGTTCATCTGATCTTCATGTTTTTATCAAGAATCTAATTAGTCAAACAATTGTTTGAGTGATTAGATGAAGTAAAATGGAAATTTAGCCCTCTAATCAAAGTGTTAAAATATATTACATAGAATTGAGAAGCTAAACAAATAAAGCACAAAGTGTGCAACCTTTTTATTAGAATTATACTACAGTAAAAAAATACATAATAAAATATGACCAAGGAAAAAAAAGCATTCCAAATATGAGATATTACTAAACCTTGTATTTTTTTGCTATGGAAACAGATTTTGAAATTTCAATATAAAATACTCCCTAAAAGCAATTTTTTTAGCTGAGATAAAATCTACATTTCTTAACTAAGTTATTGTCCTTCTTTGAGTACCATTGAGTCAGAACCAATATGATCTATTCTAATTGATATATGGGAAAGGAGATTAAAGAACACAACAGATAATTTTGTTAGCAATAGTAAACAAATTTGGATGCATGTTTTTTATACTCCAATAATCAAAAGATAGCAATTTTAAAAAAATGAAATTGGTTTTTAACTTCCTCAACTTCGCAAAATTTCCGTTAAATGAACTCATGTAAATGATAATCACGAAGCTCTTCGGGGTGCTATGAATCAAATTGAGGGGAGTTGTTATAACCATAGACTAAACTAATCACCCTTAAACTTTTTTCAACCTCAAAAAACCAAATTGGAAATTAATTGAAACTAATTTTTCATCAAAATAGGAAAACCTGTTAAAGAACCTTCATATACCACTCAAACCCACTATAGTACATTCTAATTCTAGGTCATAAACTGAAATTCTAATTCCCTAAAATTTTGATGTTTTAATTTTATATTTCATATTTGTAGGCTACAAACATAATACCATGCAATTCAATTTCAAAAACCCAAATCTGATAAGTTTTTCAAGAACCAGAAAGTAGTCCAAGAAACGTCAGAAACGAAGAACAAAATCTACAGGTACCTGGCCGATAATAACAAAGGAGAAGTACATCGGCAAGTATCTTAGTATCCGACTGGAGAAAACTGAATCATATGATTTTTCAAAAAGAGAAAGAGAAGGAAAGCGAGGAAGAAGAATAATCAAAAGCAAGATACCTGGTCGGCGAAGAGACGAAAGCAAATAGACAGCGATCAAAAGTGGTTAAAAAACTCGACAATTATCAAATGGAAATAAATCACCCCTAAAACACAGAAGTTAGGCACAATAGTAGATAAGCGGCATTAAAAAAACAAACGGGAAAAGAACCAAGGGTTAACACAATAGGCCCTTATATAATAAGGGGAGATATAGGTGTTAACTAGGGCTGGGTCGGGAAAACCGAACCGAAATCGATCGAAACGAGCTAGAAAAAAAACCGAACCAAAAAAACCGAAACCGAATGTAAAAAAACCGAACCGAACCGTTATTGTTTGGTTCCGTTTTGGTTTTTACTTTGAAAAACCGAACCGAACCGAATAAACCAAAGTTATTTATATGCTTCATTTTATTTATATGAGTATATGTGATATGCATAAAAATCATATAAACAAAAATGCAAATAAATTACTAGCCAAATAAAGTTTTTTTCTTAACTATTAATAACTAATCCTAATATAGAATTATATAACATTAAAAATTAAAATGAGTAGTTAACATATTTAAACGAAAAACTTTGATGTTATAATGAAAATGAAAGTATTATATAAAAAAATCCAATTCTCTGCAATTGATTTTACATACGATATCTTTAAGATTATTTAAAATCTTCTAGATGTTTGTTAGACACTTGACACATATTTTGTATATAAAATTGAACCAATGAGAACACTAACCTTCCGCTCGGCTTTTTTTGTGTGTAAAAATCAAGCAAAAAAAAAACAAACCCAAACTTACGTATTGTTATTGCTTTGTCAAGTTAGTATATATACAATTTTTAATGCTTATAAATATTTACTTTTATAAACCGAAAAAACCGAAAAAACCAAGATAAAAACCGCATAAAACCGAACCGAATAACCAACAGTTTACATATTTTTCATGCAAAACCGACCCGAACCGAACCGCCAACTTACCTTCCGTTTTGTCTTTGGTTTTGGGTAAAAACCGAACCGCCAAAACCGAACCCACCCCTAGTGTTAACAACTTTTCGTTAATTTTGCGTGGCTAATCCAAATGAAAGATATGAATGGCGTAAGATTCGAAATGTAGTAAATCCTTTAATATAAAAATGGAGAGTTTGATTTGTAGGAGTTTGACATGTGGAAATTAAGAGTATTCTAATTTAATTACAACGTAAGTTTACACGCGTCCACTTCTACGATAGAATCGCGTAAAAGAACTGATCTCTTTCATCGGCCAGCACTTCTTCTCCAAAAAAGCGCTTATTCTTCGTTGTACTGTACATCTTTGCTGAAGGAAATCTACGGGAGTTGATATCTACACTCCATAATTTACTATTGGCACTCCACATTTTATAATTTTTTAATAGATGGACAATAATAACCTTTTAAATAGAAGACCCCATCTTCATCCTAAATTCCTACTAGACATGATTTGCTTCATTTATTTGCAAAAGAAAACTATAACTTAGTCATTGATATTTATATTATCCATTTAACAAATTTTATAATTTTGAGGATTATAATTTAATTAATATTCCATACTTATTTATTAATTTGTTAATCTAAAAAAGATCTTTACATTTGAGTTTTTATCGTACGATACTTTGGCCATAAATAAATATGCTTGTACATAAATAAATATTTCAAGTATAAAAATTTGATGTATAAAATATATATTTTTAAATAAACCCAACTATAATAAATTTAAGTTATAACTAAATATATACATTTTTTCACAATATATAAACCCAATCATTTCTTAATTTGCTAAAAAAATTTGTTAGTATTTTTAAATATATAATTTTTTTTAGTTTTGGATGACCACTTTGAGTTAGATAACATGATACTCCATCCCTTCATCTCGTTACTTATTTGATAAAATAATATAAAACTCTGTAATTGTAACGCCCCAAAATATACCCTAGAATTATTAATGAATAAGTATTCAATTAATCAAATTGTTTTGATTAAAATAAATTATTGTTGGGTTTTAGGCCAAAATAATATGTGTCTTATATATACAATATTACCATCAGGATAAGTCTTATAGAGATAAATCCAAAATGTTGACTTATTGTGTGACCTTAATTGGGAACCTGAGTACAGACCAAAATTAAGAGTAAATAGAGAATTTGCTTATTAAATGAACTTTGAAATGAATTCTTGAAATAAACCATGAGAATAAATTTAATGTGAGAACCTTTTATGATAAAAGTCAAATAAACCAATTTTGACTCTGTCAAAGTCAAACATCCAAAAATATGATGTTGGAAAAAGTATTACAAGTAAATATAAAAAGTATATCATTAAATAGAGTTTGACTGTCTGATCATAACGGTGCAAATGGATTTCAATTCGGAGAAAGTTAGACCAAAAAAAATGTACCCCAACTAGGACCAAAATTAGTCCCAATCAGAGACTACACACCAAATGGCGCCCTGTTCAATTACGCCGATTCCAAAATGCAAATGGCCGCACAATCACGGAAGCAACCAAGCTTGTGTCTTCTTCTTCTCCACTGGCCTATTTAAGCACAACTCAACTCCCTCAATTCCTCACCAAAAACATTCATTCTTCCTCCTATATTGTTCTTTGCTCAGAGTAGAGTGTAGTGGTGCTGTCATCTTTGTGTGAGGTAGCCGGAGCAGTGAGATAGAGTCGCCGGAAGTTTCGCCGGAAAATATTCAAAAC